CATATAAAGGGCAAGTAATTATTTCATCTCTTACTCATCTTCAGTGTTCTGTTCTGTTGGGTTTTTTTTCTTAACTTTTTCATGCCTTAGTGGTTCCAAGATTACTAAATGTTGGTGAAATTCTATATTGCAACAGCACTTTATAGTCTGCTAATTCCCTCCTTAGAAGAACTTACATTCCCATTATTAAAGGTAAACTTAAATTGTATCTTTATCCAAAAGAAAGAAAAACAATCTGTTTGGCAGTTTATACATTTGAAAATTATGATGACCTTCTTCTTTGCTTTGAAATAATATATTGTCATTATAAAGTATATTTCCAATTTATAGTGTGTCTTTTTTTTCTTTGGGAATTTAAAATACTTTAAATAATTTGGGCTTTGCCTGATTCCCCCATAATTGTAGAGTATGACTGATAACTGCCTTTAGAATCCCTAACAGCTAAATTACAATTATTATGCAAAATCCTACAATAGACAGTTATATGGATTATTAAATGACTTTGCCTTTTTTGCAAACTATAATCATTTTCCTTTATTAGCTGAAGGATTTCATAATTTAAGGAAGATGAGAAACCTATAAGTCACGCTTTCAAATAAGGAACATGGATATTGCAAACATTAAATTCCCCCATAAAAATGTTAAGGCATCATTAAACTAGGTTCAGATTAATACAATTCAGTCAACTCCAGATAGATATCTCCCATAATAAGCTGAAACAATACCTAGTGATCTAAGATGTAAAATATTTTACTACAGCCAATTTATAATCCTATAAAACATACAGGTATCATTCAACCTCTTTATTAATAGTGCATGCCTTGTATTAAATCAAAACCATTTTAAAGGCCCCTCCCTTTTGGCATTCCCTTCTCAGCTGTTGCCCCTCATTATGTGTTATCTCACTGAAGCTCATCCAAAGTGAATGACAGCATCTTTTTTGCTAGGAGCAGCCTAGCCTAGTGCTAGAGCTTAACTATCTCCGAGATTTATAGACACACTTGCTACCCTCCACCTACAATATTCTATGGTCTAATGTTGATATATTTGTTTCTCTGTAAGCAGATGTGGTTTTCTCACTTTGGAAAACAGTAATTCATTATTTTTTAAGTTTTTGCAAGTTGCTTTACATGTGAATTGTATTCCCAAGAAAACTAACGGTGGGACAATCTCAGGTTCTGGACTATTTTGAAGCTGGTTGGAAGAATCCTTTTTTCACCATTTGTCCCCAAGAAGAAAGCCAGATATTTTGTATTGTCTGAATTACCAAAAGTTTTAATAAGTTATCTGTTCTGATTATCTGTTATCACATAACAACTCCAAAGCAATGATTTAACAATCCCCAAACAACGATATTAATTTCCTCACAAACCTGCAATTGGGGCAAGATTCTGTGGGCTGACTCATCTCTGCTCTATTTGGCATCGGCTAGTCCAAGGTTAGAGGCTAGAATCACCTGAAGATTTGCTCATATGTTGGGTGACTGTGTGGTTACTAATCCCATGTGTTATCTCCAGTCAGGTGCCTTCAGGGCAGCCTGATTCCTACATGTTGACTCGTGGCTCCCAAAGCTGAGCCCCAGGGAGGCACAGATGGGACAGCTGAGAACAGATGACAAGGAACAGATGGGAGCTCTAGCACCTTTCCCAACCTGGTCTCCTAAGTCCTACCCATTACTTCCACCTTCCTCTATTTGTTAAAAGAGAGTCAACAAGGGTGATCCACAATCATGGAGCAGAGAATTAGACTTAACCTTTATGATGGGAGAAGTGTCAAAAAATGTGTGAACATGTTTTAAAACTGTCACAGCATAAAAGGGGAAATTAATCCAGTACTTTTAAATATCACTCTGGAAAATAATCAAGTGTGCATTTCCAAAGTTGCTTCACAGAAACTGCACTTAAAATGTAAATTTTTTTAATGTAAAACTGTTTTTTTTCCAGGTTGAGGTAAATTGAAAAGTAAAGTAATATGATGGTTTAATATACATATATATTGTAAAATGATTGCCACAATCAAACTGCAATCAAGTTAATTAACACATCACCTCACATAGTTCTTTTGTCTGTGTGTATGAGAACGTCTGTTTACATTACTATGTTCCATTGACTCTTTATAGCGAGACGTGTCATCCCAAGTCATACTGACAAGAAATCAAGGTACAATAAATAAAATTTAAAAATATATACAAGTATTAATATCCTTAACAGAGGAATTTTGAACTCTGACTCATCACAGACACATATGCATGGATTAAACTATTAAAGAATTTTCATACCATTTTGACATGAGAGTTCTTATATATAACATGAATTAATAGGTTGTTTTTCACACAAAATCATCCTAAAAGAATCTTTCTTAAACTGGGAAAATAATTTTAAAGAATGAAGACCAAATCTCTAAAACTGAGATTATCCAAAAGAATAATGAGAAAAAAATAAAATGAAAACATTAAGGTATAATGGTTAAACTGATATATATATATATACATCTACATATACATATAAAGTCACTGAATATTGAGACTATAAAAGATTAACAAAATTCCTGTAGTTGACCAAAAATATTGTATCACTGAATTTGCTATAATAACATTACACAATAAAAGTTTATTTCTCATTTACATAGCAATCTAATCTAAATTTCCGAGTATTAGTGCCAGCCATAAGAGGACTGTGCCTCATTACACAGAGGTTACCAGGAAGTTCATTATCCCATTTGCCAGGGTACACTTGGTTGTCTACTCTTTGTATGTTAAGAAAGGTGGCACATGGTACAGATTTCTAGGCAACCATTGGTGGTTTTGCCAGTTGGTCAGAGATCAGTATAAAATAAAACTGGAAGACAGTGAAAGAAAGACTAGAGAAAAAGTGTATGAATGGATCTCTTAGAGAGGGCATAAAATATACATATCTTTGTGTATCATGTTACTGCCCATCAGAGAGCATCCACCAATGAGAAGTCACTTTGCCCTGCAGATATCAACCTGCCTCTTTTCTTGGCCATCCTTATGCTTACAAAATGGATCCAGGATAATAGTGGTCACAGTGGCATGGATGGAAACAATGCCTGGGCTTATGATATGGAGTTTGCCTCAATATAGCTGATTGAGCATGTCACTTCTAAGTTTCCAACCAGCCAGTATTAGAAATAGATCCTCTGCCCTGGACATAACATTATATCTTCGGGGGCTGAGTGGGTGGATAACAGGAATCAAGTTAAATGCCAGCATCCAGATTCTACTCTTCCAGGATTCTATCACCTGCACTGATATTGATGAGCACAGTTCGATGGCAACATCCCCACTACCAATTCTGACCTGTAAGCACAGTCACTGTTAAGCTTCTCAAAGTTGTCTGTAGCTGCTCACTTCCTTAGTAAAGGAAATTCCTTTGAAATGTCTCAAGCAACACAGTAAGATGGAGGGTTCTTGGGCCAACCTATACCATATCAATTCTAACTCCCATATCTTTATGAATGTTCTGAACTATTTTGTATTCTACCACACAATGTCTTATTATTTCCACTACTTTCACTCTAGTGTATCAAGGCCAGGCTCCTAAGGAACAACAAAGCTATATGGGTGAGCTCTAGGTGTCCCTCCTATAATGTGGAATCATGACTCATGGTGAGTAATGGCATGTAAATGAATTCTCCCCCTTGCAGCCTAATGTTCTGTGTCACCTGTCCCCCATTTGCCTACCACCCTCTACTCAAGATATTCTTCTACCTTCGCCCCCGGGTTCCTGCCAATACATGTTAACCAACGTATGTAGCGTTGCTTGCATTCTCAGTTTAACTTCTCGGAGATCTAAACTTAATTATCAGTGATGGCTGAAGTTAGGTCTAGGACCATGACTTGCAATGCAGTCGGGCCAGTGGCAGTGGTATTGAAGTCCAGAAGGTAAACAGTTGATTTCTTAAGGAAACAGTACTCAAAGAAATCTGAGAGGCCCCAACATGTTTGTCTAATACAATATTTCTTTCCGGGCAATAAGGTCTTCAAGGTTATATATTTAGCAACCAGCATTTACTTTCTCTTTCCCTGTGATGTATGGATCTCTATATGAACTAGAAACAACTAATCTTTTTTATATGAAAAGCTGTATAAGGTAATTTCTCTGTGATAATTACCCTCCTTAGCAAAGAATACAAGGAGAGGCAGAATTTTTCATCATCAGACCAAATACAGACTACACTTACAGGCAAGGAATTTAGCTTCTCAAGGCCTAAGTTATAAGTAAAATAAGTAGTATGAGTAATAAGTATTTTTCAAAATTAAAATTTTCAAAATTAAATTCATGCATTTCTACTAAATTGTGAATTTCCACAAATTTATAAATTCAGCACTATAACATATTAACTATATGAAATATAACTACATATTTCACTCAAAAGAAATAAATAAAAGAAAGGTCAACTGAGACCTATGGAATGGTAGTTTAATACAATTATTAAGCAGAGTTTATTTGGCAAGGCAAACTGCATAGCAATGCATCAGTAGTTATAGTGAGTGTTATTCTATGTAAAAAAGAGAAAGGTTTAGTGTGAAGCAGGGTGTACAAGATTCAAACAACCAAAGACGCAAACTATATATTTGAAAACACAGCTGTGGCTATGGTGAGTGCTGTGAATTGTGCAAAACTGCTGAATCACAGATCTGTACCTCTGAAACAAATAATACAATATATGTTAAAAAAAAAAAAAGAAGATAGCAGGAAGGGAAGAATGAAGGGGGGAAATCGGAGGGGGAGACGAACCATGAGGGACTATGGACTCTGAGAAACAAACTGAGGGTTCTAGAGGGGAGGGGGTGGGGGGATGGGTTAGCCTGGTGATGGGTATTAAAGAGGGCACGTTCAGCATGGAGCACTGGGTGTTATGCACAAACAATGAATCATGGAACACTACATCAAAAACTAAAGATGTAATGTATGGTGATTAACGTAACAATAAAAATTTAAAAAAGAAAACACAACTGTGGCTTATGTTCAGTCATTTCATATCTCGAAGAGTATTATTTTAAAAAAATGCATACAAAGAGTACATTTAATTATCACGTGACTATTTGGAACTCTCTGATATAATAAGTCCCCTAGGATTATAGGTCTGCTAAACAGATTTCCGTCTCTTTCCAAATACATTATTGATCAATTTAGCCATTGATTTCGATCCACTGGGTCTTCTCTTTTCTTTGAGTTTGAAGTTTGTCAGGATGTCCTTGATAATTCTGGTAAACATCATGTGTACCTCCAGAGACTGCTCTGCTGCAGACAATTCACAGAACTGGCACTGGTTATCCAGAGCCAGCTTCTGTCCTTCTTCCCAGCCAACTTCTCGGACATGACACAGATCTTGCTTGTTACCAACCAAAAGCACGGCAGATCCCACAGCTCTGAAATACAGAACACAACTCTGGCAAGATTATTTTAACCTTTTTTTTTCCTCATTAAGTAGGTTTATATCAAAAGGAATTACAGACCAAAGGAAAAAAAATACTCTGTGTGTGTGTGTGTGTGTGTGTTCCTTATAGTCGTATGTATGTACATGACACATATCCCCATTTACTTACAAAAATTATTTTAGATAGAAAGTAGTGTGTGACACAAAAGCAGCAAGACTCTTAAAGCATAGGATCTGCATTGATATAAACCTATTCTTGAATTATGGCTCCATTTACTAATAAGGCATGACTGTTACTTTTCCCACTTTCAACTTTCCTATATGTAAAACAATGGCGAAACAGCCTCATTATGCAGAATTCTCGTAGAGATTAAATTAAATGATGGATATAAAAATACCTAGCAGAGTGACAGCCAACAAAAGATGTTTACCAAGTATTATTTTTCATTTCCTTGTCAGTTGAAAGAGGAAGACTAACTAATGTCTCTTTACTGAAGAGTTACTGTAATTGAACAATTTAGATATAATTTTCCCAGGGAAAATATTACTCAATACGCACCGTTGTTTGTTCTTTGTTAATATCATTATACTATACTCTCGAGAGTATACTATGCTCTTTTATGATCTTATGACCTTATACGATTTTTCTATTTATTTAAGAAATATGTTTTTTTGTTAAGATAATGTCTTCAGCAAATATCAATATATTCTCCTTGGTTGTAGTGACACATTTCTAAAACAGAATTTCATTTGAAGGATATAGTAAGACAACTAGTCCTCAAATGCCATGGAACTCTGCCAAGTTATCTACTTTAGGGGAAAAAATAGATAAATGCAGTCTGCAACTCTGTCTGAAGAGATACTGTCTTTATATTCTGCTCAAAGTTGGTTTCATTCACATTATGGTGTGAGTGGTGAGGGGAAAACACTGTATGTGTTAGGCTTTTGAGGGTATTACTATCTTTTTCTGTATAGTTCAGAAAATTATTGTAAAGAATTAATGGGGAAGGGTAAGTGAAATATTTTGAAGACTGGGTCACAAATATCAGATGCAATTTTATAAAACAGTAACATATTTTGCTATTCTAGTCTGCCTACAGATTGAGAACTGGAAATATTTGAAAAATTATTTAGTGCATTAAGAAAAATGCCTGAAAAACGTCAAGTATAGGTGTTTTTATGTTTTTGAGTGTTCTTAAGTGATTCTTTTGATTTGGAGGAATAGCAAAAGAAGTTTATTACTATCTTTTACCTAAGTTATGTTGCCTAAATATGAGGCATTTAATGCTTAAAACAATGGAGTTCAAATAAAAATCTGTAATATTAGAGGAAATCAGAGCTGTGAGGTACCTTAGTAAAATCACATCCTTTTCTCCTACCATGTTTCTATCAGTTTTATAATCAGAATAACTAGGTCTCGAGATTAAAGTGGTTTACCTAAGGTCAATCAGATCTAAACAAGAATGTATGCCAATTGACTCCAGGGAAATACCCTTTATCAATTATTATCTATGCTTTCTTGACAGCGGGCATTTAAAATAGATATAAAAACACATATATGAATTTTCAGTACTAATATTGTGTTTCTTGATTCCCAGATTAGAATGTTATTTCAGACTCTAAGGGCAAATCTGATCCAGAGTGCAGAGGATCCTTTATATCAGCATGTTGAACAAACAAAAATATTTTAAATGCAAAAGGCTAAAACAAAAAATAAGGAAAGCTAAATGGGAAATTCATATGGTTAAACTTATATCTACTAATACAAGAATGGTTTAAGGCACAGTTCTGTTTTCCTTCATAGTTACTCGTGTCAAAACAACTAACAATGGGAAATCATTGATCAGCTCTTTATCTTAGGAGGTGAAACAGAAAAATGTATTCTCAGAATTTGTAATGGTTTGACATTCAGTGTATTTTGCTTTGAGATTGAACAACCCAATCACTAGGAATTGGATGCCAAATGTAATAAATTTGGATTTATTTAGTATCCTTAACATTTCTGTGGGAATGAAAAGAAAAGGTTGGAAAGTGAACTGTCTTGTGTACAGAGGACTATGATTTTGCAAGTGAGTGTCATGTTAACAATAGAATCTGTCTTGTAAAATAGCCATTTACTCAGAGCAAGTAACTGTTTATGTCAGCCAGGATATAAAGTATTCTCATCTTATTCCTTTTACTACATGTGTAACTCCTGTGGAATGGAAGGTGAATTGTTCAGGGCTGTTAAATTTTGTAATTGGAAGGCTGTATTAAACTCTTCCTAATGATGCTTATAGCTATATGATGATTTACTCAAAAGAAAGGAGAGAGGAATGAAGAATATCTTACCTTTTACAGTGACTAGTTTGTGGCTCCCGAATTCTGTAGATCAGTGCTTTTGCAAAAGCAAATGAGGACCTGTCACTGATGTCATACACTATAACAAACCCATCTGCCCAGTGCAGCTCACTTGTGAGGGAAAATTTTGCTTTCTGCGGCTGAAAATAAATCAAGCACATTGAAACTGGTGGGATAGTTCACCTGTATTTTACACTTTAGACAATTAATTAATGGAAAACCATTTCACCTAAAAGAGACTTTAATAAGCCAAAGACTGATATTTTCTAAAATGTAGTTTCTTTGGTCCTCTCTTCCTTACCACTCTTTCTTTAATTAAAAGTGATTAAATGTTTAAAATAAAGAGGAAGTATAATAAAGTTTTATTATCTATCTCATTTGCAACTTTTCTCTAAGAAAATATCTTTACTTTTTTGAAAGTTGGATAAGCTCTAATAATTGCTCTTGAATTAATATTCACATATTTGTTTTGAAAAAAGAAAATATTTTCTGGGCGCCTGGGTGGCTCAGTTGGTTAAGAGACTGCCTTCGGCTCAGGTCATGATCTTGGAGTCCTGGGATCGAGCCCCACCCACATCGGGGTCCCGGCTTACTGGGGAGCCTGCTTCTCCCTCTGACCCTATCCCCTCTCATGCTGTTTCTCTCTCTCTCTCTCTCTCAAATAAATAAATTAAAAAATCTTTAAAAAAAAGAAGAAAATATTTTCTATCAATATCAGTAAATGGATTATCTATTGATTTTTGGTACTAGATTTAAATGGGAAAAAAAAAACACTGATAAGGTTTAGCTAAAAACATTTAAGGGATATTTTACATGGTTAAATGAATCTGTCTCCTGGAGCTGTTTTGAAACCTTGAACAGCTGACCATTCTTTCTCTTATTTGGATAATCTTATTTTAACTTTTTTGTCTTTGAATAGACAAAGGAGTTTGTACTAAAAATCTACCTTACTTACGGTTTGTTGGCAGTGGTTAATTACAAATGCAACTTAGTGAAAATATAAACTGAATTGATAAGCCATTAAACTATTAACTTCTTTTTTTAAGATTTTATTTATTTATTTGAGAGAGAGAGAAGAGAGCACAAGCAGGGGTTGCTGCAGAGGGAGAGGGAGAAGCAGGCTCCCCACGGAGCAAGGAGCCCGATGTGGGGCTCCATCCCAGGAGCCTGGGATCATGACCTGAGCTGAAGGCAGATACTTAACTGACTGAGCCACGCAGGCGTCCCTAAAATATTAATTTCTAATAGCTATACTGTGACCTTCTAGAAATATAAATGCAACCTAATATTGCTATTTTAAAGAAATTTTACTATGATAATTTTTGTCATAATTTTAAAGAGAAGCTAGATAATGGAATTTATAATATTAAAAATAATCTTAAAACTTTAATTAAAATTGAGAATAAATTTCAGTTTTAAGACTGGCAACTTTATTTTCACTTGCTCTTATCCAATCTTCCTCAAATCATGATTGAAAAAATAAAATAAAAGCATATTTTGTTTTACTTACTTGAGAACAGGGGTCGTATATTTCTAGATTCAGTTGCTTCCCTTCCAAATACAAATGCTTGCTATAGATAGATTCTGCAAAATATGCATATATTCATTGCAGTATGGAAATACTCCAGAATAAAAAAAATAAACCCATATTTGGATCACAGTCTTGCAAATTCGACTGGTTATCTTCTAGTAGAATAGTACAGTGGCTTTTTTTTAAATGTTAGAGGTCAAATACATGTATTTGTTATATTTGCTCACATATATATGTATGCTCATATATATAGATATATATTTCTTACAAATAAACTTCACCACCATATCTATTCAACTATATGCTATTGTGCTTATATACTTATCTTCCATCCTATAACTATGGATGAGTTATCTGTGTTGCTATGTAAAGCCAATCCATTCATTATGAACTAGTTACCATTTAATCTGATCTACTGAAAGACATGACCCCACCAATTCTACCTCTCTCTTCTGAATCATAAATTGTTCCTCTTTACTATATCATTACTAACAGCTGAATTTCTAACAACAGTCCCTTAGAACCCCCAACCTCTTCAACTATTGCCCCATTTCTCTGTTGGCTTTTTTAGTAAGTATCTAACTCCCCGTGTCTAAATTCTCTCCCCCGAGTTCTTTGAATTATTCCAATCAGGCTTTAGCTCCAATAACTTAAATAAAACTGTTCTTATCAAAATTATGGTTTTAGATTCAATGGCTAATTCTCTATCTTGATCTTACTTGCCCTAGGAGCATTAATATAGTCGACCATTCCTACCTCCTTAAAATATTTCCTTCATGTGGCTTTGAAGGCAACATACTCCCCTGTTTTTTTTTTCTTTATTCCTTGTTGCTCTTTATTAATCTCTTTTATTTGTCCCACCAGGTCTTCTCACTCTCCAAACATGGGTCCAGTTTATGGGTCTCTCCTCTCTATATACTCCCTTTCTAAGCTCATTCAGAGTTTCATAGAACAATTATTGCTAATGAACCCAATTTATTTCTGTAGCCTAGAACTCTTCCTTGAACTTCAGATGCTAACAACTCCTGCTATTGCATATCGCCCTTTAGACACTGAATAGACATTTCAACCTGAACATACTTAAAACTGAAGCCCAGATCTCACTGAAAAGACTGTATCTTCCACAGTTTTCCATTTCATTAAATGGCATACCCATAACTCCTGCTGATCAGGTTAAAAGCTTTAAGTCATCCTTGGTCCTGTCTGTCTGTTACCTTCCATATTTATACTATTAAAAATTCCTTTTTACTCTATTTTTAAAGTATATTTTGAATTTGTCTGTTTCTCATCATCTCCATTGTTAATACATCATTATTTTTTGTTTAGATTATTACAAAACCTCCTAATTTAACTCTCTGCTTTACCCCTTTCCTAAATCCCTTCTTATGCCTACTCTATTCTCAACACAGAAACAAAAGTGAACCTTGTACCCAAATCATATCACTTGTCTGATCAAATCTCTCCAATGGCTCCCCATCTCACTTGGATAAACCAAAGCCTTTAAAATGCCTAAGAATGGCCCTCATTGTCTAGTCCCACATGACCTCTCTGGCTATTCTCCCTCAAGTTCTCTGCACTCGTGCTACACCATCCTCCATACCATTCCTCAACTTTTTCAGAAAGTTCCTGCCTGAGAATTTTGGTAATTGTTCTTCTTGCCTGGAATGTAATTCTCCAGATATATTCATGGCTCAGTTTTCACCACCTTCATGTGTCTGTTCAAATGTCACCTTCTCAGCAACGTCTACCCTAACTACCCAATTTTAAATGGTCACATACCATATTAGTGTCATTCTACCATGCTGTTTTTCCTTCATAGCATTTATCATCATGTGGCATAACTTATACTTAATTTTTTAAATTGTCCCTTACTTCCTGAATATAAATCTTATGGGGGCTTGGATAATTGTCTTTTTTGTTCACTGCTATAGCTTCCTTACCTAGAAGAGTAACTGGGACATGGTAGGTGCTCAATAAATATTAGTTAAATGAATAAAGGACTACTTTTCTGTAACTTTTCCTCCAGGGTTTAATAAAAGACCTATTTCTCTCCAAAATGGCACACTGACCAAAAAAAAAAAAAAAAAAAAAAATCATGTCCCATTCTGGCAATGTAACCCATAATTAAAAAGATGTAGCAAGCATTTGGGGAACTAACTTCAGGGAGCTAAGAATGAATTTTAAAATCCTTTTAGGTTACATTTAATGAAATTTGCATAGTTTCATTAAACCTTAAAAGGTGTTTTCAGACAGTTCCTTCTAACTTCACAGGTTTACTTCTGATTGTGAACCATAAAAGTTCCTTCTAGACATTTAAAGGTATCTACTCAAAACTCAAAAACTGCCAGCAGGGGTCACTAACTCTTAACTTTGTAGAATTTTATTATTTTCCCTTTCTGGTCTTCATTTACAAGATGGAGTCATTTTTTGCTAGTTTGTCCTCATGCAGGGATGACCTTTTGCTCATTTGGTTGTTTTTTCAAAATGTCTCTAAGTCTTATTTTTTTTTAATGGAAATGTACCAGCCAGAAATGTGTACACTTCATTTGTTTATATAATTATATCTTATAAAAGATTAAGGAGATTTTGTTGTTGTTGTTGTTACTACTGTTATTTTTGGGTATGGTTTTATTTATGTCATGTTGTGCTTTATTTTGTCATTCTGGAATATTTTTTCATGCCTGACTCCTATTTTGTGTTATACTGACATTTCTGACTGAGGTTTTTGACGTGAGAAATGAAACAATAGGGAATTTCTCTTTCTATGTATTTCTTCTTTCTTTAAATAGTTTCCAAGCACTTTCCCTAAAATGTTCACAACATCATATGGACTGAAATAGTATATTAGATACATGTAGAAAGCGATACAATACTTTAAAGTTACTTTTAAAATTGTCTAATGACTTTAGACATTATCTAAATGTCTAACAATGTCTAACAATTTCAGCCTCCTGAACGGAGGCTAAAAAAATTTTTTGGTGGGGATAATTGTTTCTTAGGGAAAACACATTTGCAATGATAACTTCTATTACTCTAGGAATTATTGAACAAAAAAATCAAAATCATTCCCCTTTTTCCCAATTCTCATATATATTTTTTATAAATCTGTTGTATTTGTTTAAAACACAAAAAGCAAAAACACTTTTCCCTCATGCCTTAAGTCAGGTGAGATATTAGTACCATTATATTGATTAATTGCTGAGCCAAAAATATACTCAAAACTCTGGCAAAATTCCTCACTTTTTATTAATGCCCCACTGTGGTATTTCCCACATGTCATACTAATTCTGATCAAAAGAAAAAAATAGAACAGAGTTAGTAAAATGATTCTAAGATTATATTAAGGTGCTCTTGCACCTGTTTAAGAATTTCTCTGAAACTTAGATAAGCAACCTAGATAATTATGATATGATCTTTAATCAAGGCATAATTTTCCTGTTATTTTCACACTGTTTTACAATTAAAATAAGCTTTATTTTGTCGTTCTAGTGCTTTTGTAATTAATTTGTCCTTATCTTTCAACAGATGTTTATTGAATTTCAGAACTGTTTTATAGTTTACGAAATTATTCATACTCACATGCTTTGCAATATTGGGGAGGAGAATCTCAGTTTTAATATTCTTCTAATTCTAGCTTGAAACAAACAGACTTTCTAATCCATCTCACTTAACATCAAGTTGGGTGAATTTTATCATAAAAGAACATTCAATTCAAGTGCCTATTTTGGCATTTCCAAACAGAATCTGAATAAATAAGTTGCTTAAAAGTGCAACAATGGAAAATTCTATCAAAATGCTTCAGTGATCTTAATTGTGGTTTAATTAAAATGTTGACATTTTAAAGGTGAAAAAAATCTCGAGTGGTGACTTACCAAAGTTAGAGGCATATTCTCCGATGAATCGTTTGGTAAGAAACCTTACTGTAAGGGCTGCAAAACAAACATGCTGGATTTAGGTTCTTTTCTCTTTTAGGACACAGACAACTTAGCTATGTACATAAGGTTTTATCTTTCAGCTCAAAAATTACCAAGCATTAGTGCAGACCTTAAAGCTTTATTAAATTCTAGTCTAAATAATAGTCAGCAAGATTTTCACTGTACAACCATAAAGATTAAAAGACTAGAAAGAAAGTGATCTGCCTATTCAAATCACTATGTAATTAATTCATGAATGCAAACAGGTAAGGCAGCTTACTTTATGTAACAGAAACAGAGTTTTCATTAAGTTTGAGATTCAAGAACTATAACATCTCTTTATATTCTTTATTGGATTAAATCTGGCTCCAAGGTGCTGCGTGCTAATAGTAACAAGGACAAGATCAAGCATTTACAGGATACTGGGACTTCAACATCCAGGAAACCAGAAAAAGGACCTCTAGTGTCAGTTTGTCTTCTTGCAGCTCCTGGGTCTGGCCAGGTATACGGTTCAGGACTTCTATTGGTGGCATCCTGACCATCATAATGGAACCAAAAACAAAATCCAGTAAAATAAAACAAAACCATGGCTTCCAAAGTTAGGGCAGCTGTAGCTCAGTCCCCAGGCATCTATAAAGCCATGCCCATCCTAAGTTTTTTCACCTCAATAATGTTGCATTTAAAAAATAATCCAAGCCAGTAGACAACAGTAAGTGCCTGGGTGTCTCAGTTTGTTAAGCATCTGACTTCAGCGCAGGTCATGATCTTAGGGTCCTGGGATTAAGTCCTGCGCTGGGCTCCACACTCAGCAGAGAGTCTACTTCTCCCATTCCCTCTCCATCTGCCCCTCCCCCTGCTCATGCTCTCTCGCTCTCAATAAATAAATAAATAAATAAATAAATAAATAAATAAATAAAAATAAAAATCTAAAAAAAAAAATTCACAGGTCTCCATGAACTTTTCTCCACCCCTAGTCTCAGAGCAGAAGAATAAGTTCAAGACTATTGTTCAGCTACGAGTGGATATGAGGGCAGGTGTGTTGGAGTGAGAAGTAGGGACAATGATGGAGGGATTTACCATTATTCCTATGAATTTTAAACAAAGTATAAATTAGCACTTCAGTTATCTTTCTCAAACCGTCTATAAATGCTATAAATATACAGTTAATTGCATTATTTACTCAAAAAAATGAAAGCTGCTAATGAAAAATAATATACATTATTATATAGGTATATCTATTTGTTAGGTCAATATATTCCTCACTATTTTTCCACTCTGAACCACTTCATGGGAAACGACACCACTCACCAGATTTGCCTGTTCCTTCACCACCCAAGACAGCAAGCTTCACATCATTCATCTTGTCTTTCTGCTCCTGTCTTCTGGAGCTATACTGACTTCAGTCCAGCATGTGCTTTTTAAAATACTTTTTATTAATGCTGCTATCATTTCTCTAAGGCCAACTCCTCCCCATACTCCTACCATCCAATAATAACTTTAAAAATGTTTTCCTGGAGTCTTTTTTAAACATATTACATAAAAAAAAACAACACTGCAGTTACTATTTAGACATAAAGTCTTCTTAAGTTAAATAGCTAAGAATTTCACAAGAAATTCTGCAGAAGAATTTAACTAAGCTAAGAAAGCTTAGCTCCCAATCCTTTTGTTTTTGTGTACATAGAATCTACCCTCCTCTGGTGCCTAGAAAAATGATTTCATCAGGAAAGTTTTTAGATGATGAGTATACATTCCTGTAAATCTACTCAGATTGGATCAGTTTGGGTATTTTTTAAAGATTTTATTTATTTATTTGAGAAATCGAGACAGAGCGAGAGAAAGAAGAGGAGCAGGGAGGAGAGGGAGAAGCAGGCTCCCCGCCGATGCGGGGCTCCAGCTCAGGACCCTGGGATCATGACCTGAGCTCCATGCTTAACCGACTGAGCCACCCAGGCGCCCCTCAGGTTTGATTTTTTTCTATTAATACCTGAGCCTACATCTTCTTGGACCTCTTTCATGAAAGGCAGGGGAATAAGATTATTTTTTAAGATTTTATTTATTTATTTGAGAGAGAGAATGAGATATGGAGAGCACGAGAGGGAAGAGGGTCAGAGGGAGAGGCAGACTCCCCGCTGAGCAGGGAGCCCGATGCGGGACTCGATCCCGGGACTCCAGGATCATGACCTGAGCCGAAGGCAGACGCTTAACCGACTGAGCCACCCGGGGCCACCCAGGGCCACCCAGGCGCCCAAGGCAGAGGAATAAGTTAACTGAGTCGTGAAAAGAAGTGAGGGGGGAAAGATGGCTCCCTCAGACCTATTGGTTTAGGGTTGGCAGCAGGGCGCATAAATACCCAGCACATGGTTTTGAGCCATGTGAGGCTCTCAATGAGGTATATGGACACAAAGGGTTTTACAATGTCCTTCTTAATAAAAAATCTCTCCCTCTCTCTCTTTTACATTTTATGCCAATAGACATCAGTAGGTTTCTGAGAAAAAAATAAACCAAACAGCTTCATGTTGCTTAAAAAGCAATAAACAGAAACCTACCATGTTTCCTTCTATAGTACTTTATAACTAGGAAAAAAAGAAATTAAAAAAAGGAATAAAATTTGGAAGGGATATTGTGATATAATTCACTCCTGCTATGACATAAAGAGGTAAACTTAATATGCAAAATGATGAGTCTTTCAAACTTCTAACCATTTTTCCCTACTACAAATCCTTGCATTACTTCCTTCCTTTTTTCTTTCCCCATCTGTATATGTATAAATTGGAGGGTTGAGAAAAGGGTACAACAGCAAATACAAGAATTCAACCTTGTCTACTAAATTTTGAAGCCCAGGTTAAAAGAGTTCCATTTCTAAGCTGGGTTGATCACGGGTATAACATACTTCTTTAAAAATGCATTTATTAGGGCACCTGGGTGGCTCAGTCGGTTAAGCGTCTGCCTTCCACTCAAGTCATGATCCCAGGGTCCTGGGATTGAGCCCCGTGTGAGACTCCCTGCTCTGCGGGGGGCCTGCTTCTCCCTCTCCCTCTGCCTGCAGCTCCCCCTGTTTGTACTCTCTCTCTCTGTGTCAAATAAATAAATAAAAATATTTTTAAAAATATTAAAATAATAAAAATGCATTTATTTAACAAACATTGAATAACTGCCACTCTTTTTATTAAAGCTATGTTGGGCTTACAAGGTCAGCAATTAAATAAAGAATTTTTCTGCCTTAATGAATCTACAGTCTACTAAGATGTAAATTGAAACAATTATAATTACAATAAACATGATCATGGCTAAAATAGGGCTCTAACCAGAGGCTGGGGTAAACAGAGCAGTGGATGGAAAAGTCTTCAAAAAGTGGGTAAGGCTTGAAACATGAGCAGGACACAACAGAGGAAACAAAGAGTGATTGGGGATTAGGGAGAGGTATCTGTTCCAAAAGAAGAAATAGACTCTGTAAAGAAAAAATAAAAACGGCAAGAGAAAGTATGGCAATTTGTGAGATCAACAAAGTAATAGCTAAAACAAATTTTTCCTTTCATTACAAATTCTTAAAAAAATTAAAAATAAGCTATGTTCTCTTTTTAATCCATGCACCTATATTAAAAGTAACAAGTACTTATTTTTTTATTAAGGAAGTTTACAGGGCACCGGCTCAGTCGGTTAAGCGTTTGCCTTTGGCTCAGGTCGTGATCCCAGGGTCCTGGGATCCCGTCCCACTTCGGACTCTGCTCAGCAGGGAGTCTGCTTCTCCCTCTCCCTCTCCCCCTCTCACCTGCTCTTGCATGCTCTCTCTCTCTCTCTCTCTCTCAAATAAATAAATAAAATATTCTTTTTTAAAAAAGGAAGTTTACCAGCTGATTTATTATACTATGGAACTGGATATTTTCCCCTCTATTTGGAGAAATTCTACTCCTATCTTCTTAAGAAAGTTCTGATCACTGTCTTTAGGGAATTTAGTATATCTACTGATAGGAAAGAAAAACTTAACTTCATAGTACGCATGATATTGAAAATACTATATAGATGGTTATCAAAATACCTGCATTCTTACACCATATCCTCCTTCTCCCCACTTCCAGTGAATTCCAAAAATAAACCTAGTAAAAAAGCAGCCTAGTGTTGGAGTGGAGTGAAGTTATAAACCTGAACAGAGAGAATACAATTAGGAACATACTTTTCTAAGAAACAGAGTGTCTATATATTTTTTTGGTCTCAGGTAAAGGTTGCTAAAATATTAATATTCTGATAGACATTATTTATACTACATAGAATCCTCTCACTTTTCCCTAAATAAATACTTATTCACAACCAAAACAAAATTATTTTATTACTTAATTCATTTATTGAATGAACAAAAACTTATTGAGTGTCTACTATGGGCTTGGCACTATTTTCAGTGCAGAAACATATTATTGGACAAAGTACTTGTAGATTCTGCTCATAGGAGATGGACATTAAGTATTAAAAAATAAGTAATTACATATCAGGTGTTCATTAATGCTATAACTTTATCGGTTTAATTTTTGTTTCTCTGAGGTCAAGTTAACCAGCCCTTCTCAACTAATCTCATTTCCCTGTAATTTAGAATAGATGCAGAGTTTCTCCACCAAAAGTTTCAGATTCAGAAGGGTGGAGTGATTAAAAAAATCTCCAAGGAGAAAGAATATCTTTGTTCCATTATACTATTCTAGAACCTTGAAAAGATGGGCTACTTCCCATCTCATTTTCTGTGTCTTTCATATTCTAAACCAGACATGAATGGTGTACATAGACAAGGAGAAAACAAAGAAATACATAGAAATACAGTGTTATTTATTAATATAGATCCAGGTCCTAAGTATATTAGCAAGCCAAATCCAGAAATGTTATTTAAAGAGCCAAGTGTCGTAAGCTAGTAGAATTTATTGGAAGAATGACAGGTTGATTGAACAATGGGAAATTTGGTAGAATTTTCCAATGCATTACCAAGATAAAGGAGAAAAACTGTATGAATAACATGTTCCCCAAAACATTTCATGAACAGCCACTTAAAATAAACAAACAAACAGGGGCACCTGGGTGGCTCAGTCAGTTAAGCATCTGACTCTTTTTTTTTTAAGACTTATTTATTTATTCTCAGAGAGCGAGCACGTGAGTGGGGCAGGGAGGAGCAGAGGGAGAGGGACAGAACCTCAGGCAGACTCCCCACTGAGCACGGAGCCAACGTGGGGCTCAACATGGGGCTCGACCCCACAACCCTGGGATCATGACCCTGGGATCATGACCTGAGCTGAAATCAAGAGTCAGCCACTTAACAGACTGTGCCAGCCAGAAGCCCCAAGTGTGGGCCTCTTGATTTTGGCTCAGGTCATGAACTCAGGGTTGAGGGATGGAACCCTGTGGCAGTTACTACTCCGCGTGGAGTCTGCTTGTCCTTCTTTCTCTCCTCCTCCACCACTGCCCCCCACTCCCACGTGCTCTCCCTCTCGAATAAAGACATAAATAAAATCTTAAAAAAATAAACAAAGAAACAAACAAAATACTTTGTAATCCAGATATAGGGGATTTCTTAACTTGATTAAGTTTATATTGTTTTTTAAATCTAAATATCAGAAAAGAGGGCACATATTGCATGGAGCACTGGGTGTTATACGCAAACAATGAATCATGGAACACTACATCAAAAAATAATGATGTAATGTATGGTGATTAACATAACATAACAAAATAAAATTTAAAAAAATCTAAATACCAGAAAAATAAATACCTATAGAATTATTACTCTTAATATTCCTCTAAAAAAGTATTTTGTTAATTTTAGCATAGAATTGGTAGTCCTATTCAACACAATGAGCAGAAGAAATAACACATATGAAAAAGGGGAGACAAATGTTTATGATCTACAAATGGTATTTTTCCTTAACTATATTATTTACATTATTAGCATACATAAGACCATTCAGTAAGATGGCCAGGTAAAAGATAAACATAAAAACAGTAATTCCAAGTGATAAAAATGACAACTGACACATGTTTAATACAGTGTATAACAGGTAATTTTTAAAATGTTTTCCATGTATACTACATTTAATCCTCTGAGAAACTTCAGGTAGGTACATTATTAACTTCTAATATAATAGAAACTCAGTCCTTTTCACAAAGAAAAGAGAAAAAGAAATAAAAAGAATAAAACCAAAAAAGAATGTATAATATTTATATGATGAATTCTCTGTTTACTGAGGTTTATAAAACACTATTTGAATACATGGACAAACATAAGTACAAAGACCCAATGTTGTAATTATTACCAAATTAATCTAAAAGTAAAATGCAATGACAATTAAAATCCCAACAAAGAGGGTTCAATTGAATGTAGAAAGCTTATTTGGGAAAAGAAAATATGCAAGAATAATTGAGAAATTTTTAGGTAAAAGAGTGACAAAATACCTCTCATGAACCAAATAATACTAAAAAATAATTAAATACTATTTTATTAGAATGGGATTGATATCCTAATTAATAGAATAGATTTTTGAGTAAAGAAACTGAGTGAAAGAAATTTATTTTATTATGAGTATAACATTTTTGATACATGTTATCTTTTAATTGTGCTGATGCTATTAGAAAAAAATCATAGAATAATGTTATGTACCTCATATCATGCAGAAAAATAAGTTATGAATATTAAAAATCTTAAACTAAGAAAAGTTTACATAGTCTTTGACATATATATGATAATCTTCCAAATAAGTGTAGGGAGAGAAAAGTCTTCTTCAGAAAAGTATCCAAAGACATAAAGAAAAATAAAAACAAAAAGACCCCAATCGAATGACTTCATAATTGATGTTTAAGTGTCAGTTATGTTAGTCCCATGGGATTATTGACCAAGGTGTGTGAATGTGTAGATTTATTAATAGCAAAATAAGTATCTAGATATAAATGGATTCTTTTAATCAGAATTGAGGTATTTTTTTCACCTCAAATTATACACCACTGAACTGAAGGAAATAAAGTTCTAGCAGAAAACAAATGTTTTTAAAATGGACTTACTTCTGGATACTTTTATGTGATAATATGGAAATTTTTCATGAAAGAGTAGCTTTTTTTTAAAGAAGAAAATGGTATTCTTCTAATCTCACAAAGCACATGTTTTCAAACAGCTAACAGACTTAAACTACATTGAGAGTGTTCAGGTGTTTCCACATTATGCTGGGGTTAGGTAAGCAATCTAGGGGGAAAATTTACAGAAGAAAAAGAACATTTGATTGTTAAGCTCTATCTCTCTTCTGTTCCAAAAGCACTTTATGCCATGTATCATGACATAAATAGCACAGATAGCATTCTCAACCAAAGATTAGAAGCAATTTCTCTGCAATCACAAATCCTCCAAATCTCTTGCAAAGAAATTATTCAGACGGGGACATTTGCCTAACCAAATAATGAAGCTATTGCAATTGTTACAAAACCTCTATTAACATTAATAGTGGCTAGCATACACAAACTTCTATTCAATATTTTTTGGCTGTAATATATGTATCTTAGAACTAATAATTGCTTAGTTCATCAATTTATATTCTAGCAGTTTGCTCATTACATTTGCCCACATACATTTCTTTTTGGTATGCGTGATTCCTTTTTGATGGATTGGCTATTTATCCGAACACGTATATGAAACAGATTGCTATGTAACAAAACTACTCCCACATTGTTTGGTCTGGGAAAACTATTTTTAGAGTCTACGCCTATTTATGGTTATAGTTCTTGGCTTATAGCCTCTCCAGTGTCTTTGCTTAAAATTTAACAAATCAATCTGAATACTGAACACCAACCCAGTCTACAAACTGCGACTAATCTGGGTTTATCTCTTCTTTTTCCTCTCCTCCCCTTTGTGCCCCAGCCCCCTTCCTCTTGGTGTGAATGTGTCTCTCTCTCGCTTGCTTGCTTGCTTCCTTTATTTTTGGCTGCTTTTAGGCGCTTTCAGATGCTTTTCTTTATCAGCAGTGTTCTAAAACTTTACAACGTTATTTTCTGGTGCATGTCATTGTTTTCATTCATTGTACTGTCACTCATTTGGCCCTCTCAATCTAGAGATCCCTGCTTCTCAGTTATAGGAATTGTTCTTATATTATTCCTTTAACAATTTATTCAACTCTATCTTATGTGTTCTTCCTGGTTGAAACATTAATCAGATTTCGAAATTACAAGATTGATTCGTAAAGAATGACATCTTCTCCTGACCTGGTCTATATCTTTAACTTCTCCTTTATAGCTTATTTCATAGATTATACCTTGAGTCGATATAATATAAAAATACACACACACACACACACACACACAATTTTTAAGAGTACTTTTTTCTTTGCTACTATTGTATTGAAATACCGTAAACATTAATTTCAATTTAAAGAAAAAGATAAAGTTTGATACATTCTGCAGTAGAACTTGAACATATAATCCCTATCATAAAAACTTCACCTTTATGAACCAGTATTGTTCTAAGTTACACTGTAATACATAATAAATACATGATTTTTACTACACGATATATGTGTGTGTATGAATTTCAATTAAACAAGGTAAAGAGGCTTATATCATTCCCAAACAATTTAAAAACTCAGTTGACATCATTAATAGAATTGACCTATGACAGTTATGCCTTTATAATTCTAATCACTTTTAGAACAAGTTTTGGAAGATAATATTTCATTTCAGTATCATATTCTAAAGAAAAATTTTATTCAATATGTAATGTTAGTAATTGACTAAATTACATGGGCCTGGTTTTTTTAAAGAAAAATAATGAAAACCTCACCAACTTGCAAAGGTTTACAAAGCATTTGTGAGACTAAATAATTGAATGCCTCTGCTAATTTTTCTCAGCGTGTATACTTATAATTGCAATTATCTTTTCAAGGTAAATGATTCAGTGTTTATTTTACTCTTTTAAATTATTCTTGAGGTGTTTATTGTTTCATAGGGTTTTAGTTTCCTGCTACGTTTATAATAGTTGAAACACGATAGCTAATAGTAATTACAACTCAGCTATTTGCGCTCTTTCTCTTCTCTAAAAACGTCTATCAGTCTTCCTGTGGACGCTGGTAATTTTCTTTGAAGCCACTTTAGTTTTTGTCAGAAGTTTGCAAGTTGACTAAAAT